CTGTCCACGTACGGAAGATAAAGAGTCCTTACCCTGGGGCAGCTTATACGCTCAGCCCAGATGTCTCCTGTGTGTAGTTTTAAGTGATCCAGGCACCTGAGCTTCTGCCATTTGCACAGAGAGCCAAAATGTCACTACCGGCCAGAAACAATGTGAGGTATGCATCACCGATTAAACGTTTCATCTGCTTTCAAGGGGTACTTGTTGCTTAACTTCTAAATGCAACCTGTCTTCAGCCCCTATTATATTGCTCTGGACTGCTCTTCAGGTCCTAAATCTTCTGATTTTTGTTTGGTTTGGAATGCACTGATTTACCACTAAGGAATAAATGAAAAGCAAAAGAAAACAGCAGTACTTGTTTGCAAAGGCCTTACATTGTTCTGTGTTCTGCTGCTACTGAAACAGAGGCAATAAATCCTGCTCCCTGGACAGAGAGAGGTTTTTTGGGTGGTGGCTGTGTGCAAATAAGGCCAGGGAAGATAAACAAGCAGAAAAATATTGGGTTTAGGAAATGACAGTCGAGGATGGCCAATCAACTGATGGGTCAAACCCAACAAGACACCATCAATTAGCAAAGACATATTGATATTATTTCTCCAAGGCATTTTTGCATCAACAAAGAGGGAAGAGAGATGGATCTGTGTTATGGTATCTGTGGTCAAACTTGGCTGCAACTAGGAATCTGTATAGTTTCTGTGTTTGAAAAGGGGAGTTTTGTAAAGCACTCTGCCTGTAGAAAAATGTGTCCACAGTTCCAGAAGGGCTCAGCCAAAAGGGTGATGAAAATCTGTCTGTTGGTGTCATCGTCAGAACTGGTGGAGGTGGGAACATTTGCTAATCTTGCTTATTTTAGGGGGCCTGCTTTCAGCAGCAGTTCACTTCTGAAAATGCAGCTCTGAAAACTCAACCCTTAAGAGTCTAATACAATACACGCCTCAGACTAGGCTAGAAAGAAGGATGCATTTTTCAGACTGTAGGTTCTTGCCTGCCTAATTATGATTTTCAGCTTCTTAAGATTAGGCCTTTGCTTTGTATAAATGTGACACAGAAGAAATGGCTGTGACATTGCCTGGCGTTTTCTTTTGCAGCTGGGGAGGAACCCAGCTAAACCTGCAGAGCTTCAGAGCTTGCAGAACTGATGCGGAAGGAGGATTTAGTCTCACATTTGGAAATCAAACTTGACCTCAGTTCCCCGAGCAATCAAAACTGTCGTAATTTCTCTTCCATCCAGCCCACACAGGATGGCCTGGGGACAGTCTCACTCTCAAGGGGTAACTTTTGGCACCCCGATGAAATGCGGGCTCTAGATGGATTGCTGTATCCATGCCCGAGTATGGCAAACAACCTCTATCAGCTCCGGTGGTTACAACTTTGTTGGAACCTTTCAGAACTAGGTCACAGCCTCCACTGTGGGGTTTGACTTCACTGTTCAGTTGCCTTTATAGATGCAGAAGGTGCTTGAAGCTGCATGAAACGGCCTTTGGATGAGCTCAGGACTGGCCAAAGTCTAAAACAGTTTGGCTTGCGGGATTCTTTGGAGCTGCAGCTCCAAATCCAGTTTGGGGTGGGTCCCAGTGATGTGGAAAGTGAAGCCAACTCACACTTTAGCAGGCGGAGTGCTCTCTACCACCATCCATCTTCTGGAAGAGAGAGGAGGAACTGCCTTGGGTGTTTGCAGTCCTCCAGAGCAAGGTGGGATATGGGTCACAAACAGACTGCTGGGCATGTACCAAGACATCTAGCAATGTTGTCAAAAACCCTAGCTTGGATTTCCCCATTTCCTTGGTCTGGAGACCCAGAGCTGTGTTTCTGAGAAGAACGCCATCTGCATCTTCATCCTCGGTGGGAGAAGCAGGCAGGGAAGAGCTTGGATGTGCCCTTTGTACTTCAGATGTTCTGTGGCAACAGTATGAATAATGCATATAAGTTCAATTCTTTTCTCTCTGGCCAGGGGCAAGGTGTCCCAGCTGATAAGAACTGGGAGCCCACCCTTGTTAAAGCCAGTATTAGACCCAGACCTTCATGAGATCTACTGCCTCAAGCAATTCCATTGTTCAAAGCACATTCGGTTAATTAGTACATTAACTAATTAACCTTCTCAGCATCCCAGGTAGGGAGTATCTATCTCCCAGAGGAAACAGAGGCAAAGTGACTCACTGAGACTGGATGCAGGAACTCAGCAATGCAGCTGTCTTAAGTCTGTTTTTTTTCTTCCCCAAAATGATTTTGTTGTTGCTGCTGCAGCCTTATGTACATAGTTCCCCTGAGACAGAGATGGAGGAGTCCTAAAGACACCCAAGAGAGTGCTCAGGCCCGGTGAGGAAAGGTACCACCGGATAAACCTGGAGAAGAAAAGAATCCAGCCAAATACCGAGAGAAGGCAATGTGATTCACCCACATGCTCATAGCAACTAAGGAAAAACAGCTAATGTCATTTCTCCCCATTCACAAGGAAAGTTTTCCTCATCAGCAAATGAATAAAATCCCTTTGCTTCTTACTCACATTTTCATCCACTCTAAATTTCATGAACCAGGAGCAAAATGACCCATGTGGAGAGTAGAGAGCATGTGAGAGAAGACGGTGGGGCTGTGTATGGGCTCACTGGGATGTGAAGAGACCAGAAGGATGAGACCTGAAGAGACTCCAGCAAACAACCAGAGGGGAAGCTTTGATGCTGAGGAACTCCACAGACTCAAACACATGATGATGAGCAGCTGATTTCCACTGCTTTACAACGTCGTAGGAAAAAATAGAGCTAAAGCACAAGGATAGAGTTCTTTGGCTTGCAAGACCCATGACAGCATCACAGACCCTTTCTCACAAGCCCTCATCACAAACAGAAATGGGAGTCTCGTCCTCCCCACCCAACTCTGAGCTGAAGTCAGACAGCACTCTTTGCTCTGCCTCCCATCAAATGACAATCCTTGGCAGCAAGTCTGCGTGGAAGAATGAGCACCAACTCCTGCAGTCAATGATTATTTGCCTGAGGAAGAGTCTTCTGGGGCTTGACTATGGGCCCATGTGCCTTACCAATCCTTTGCTCCTGGTTTTCGACCAGCTTTTCCTCAGGCACTAAGCCCTTCACCATGCTGGCAGCTTGAACAGCAATGTCAAGGGTGTGCCTTGAATGAGAGCTCTGGTGAGGCTACAGCAGCAGCATCTGAAAGCAGAAAGCACCAAGAGCAAGTGGCTTGTCCTGCAGAAGGGACTCCTTGCATAACCACATCTTAATCTACCACCAGTTTAGTAAGCCTGCAGCGGTACCCAGATTGGAGGCTACAAAAATATCCCCCTGCTCAGCAACTCCTCCCTTGTCCTTTGTAAAGCTCCAGCATTTTAATCGTATTCACACCTCCCTCTCCTAACACAAATCATCTCAGCCCTCTCAGTAACCCAGGTCCACAAAACCTGTGCATTCCTAATCTCCTTCCCTCTCTTCCGCAGTCAGATCCCTTCCACACCATGCTAATAAGCCTCCCAAGCGCACACACCCTCTTGTTTACTCTTAAGTTCTTATTCCCATCTTTCACCCTATGCACACCCCACAGCCCCCATTTGACTAAGAGATACTGAATAAGCAACTACTGCTGAGGGGCTATATGCAATTTTGTGTGGGCTATTAGTATCTTCAGCAATTCCAGCCCCATGCGTGTTCCTAATCCCCTATTGCTCCATCTCCACACCCACCAGGAAGGTGCTGCCCAGCTGATCCAGGGGCCCTGTTATTGGGAAAGGTGAAACACCCTGTCTTGTAGCATGCCCTGACTCATTCATAGTAAGTTTTAACTTAGAATAAGGATAAAAATAAAGTTCCTCAGTTTATTAGGGTTTTTTCTAGAAGAAAGTATTGGTTTCAGAGCAGCTGAAATTGTTTCTCATTCCAAGCTTCAAAGTAACACACTGCATGTGGCCATTTCTTGATCTATGGCTATAGGCATCCTTGGTCTTCATCTATTGCTAAAGGCCCTTTGGTCTTTATTCTGCAAGCTGCCTTGATGTTTCTCCTGGAAGAGTATTGCTCAAGAAATGCAATATTCTTTCAGTACAAAGGCTAAGGTTTTCAAATGAGCCTTGTCTTCCCAAATCCTATTATAATAAACACAACTTGGATTTCTCAAATGCCTTCAAATTTCCCAAACTACAAGGTTAATATAAAGCACACAAACCTACCTCTGAGGTCATATGGCTCCCCACCAAGCCCATGTGAGAAGTTAGGATGGGCAGGCACTTGATAGAGTGGGTTACAGGTGATATTTATTTTCAGGGACTAGTAAATGCCAGCAAATTCCTAAGCAATACATCCATAACAATTTTCACCTGGAGATGTTAGGTTACTTTGCAGAAAGTTGGTGAGGATCAGATGGTGAGGAATAGTGCTTGTTAAAAAAATCTTAAGATTTGTGGTTTCTTCACAGGATAATTCAAGATGTTGGCATTATGCTTTTGCTCTGAATTACTCTGCGGGGAAATTGTCCTCCCCACTGACTAGATAAAGCTTAGCAGGTCCAGCCTCCAGTGCTTAAATTTATCCCACATGAATATGGCACAAAGTACCTTGTCCGATTAACAACCCTCCTTATGGGATTTTTCCTACAAGTTCTGTAACACCTTCAAAACTGTGCTAGGTTTTGGCATTTCCAGTTCCCTGCATCCTTAGGGAATAGGGCTTGTAACTGGGAACTCTTACCCATCCTAAATCCTGGGAATAATCCTGGTTTTTACCACTTGTCTTGCCTACAGAAGCAGAAAGCCCAGGAGGTGTTTGCTTTGTGTGCTCCTAAGGGTCTTCCCATGCTGGGTAGTCGCAGGATGAGGTCGTGAGGTGCTTCCCGTGCTCTACCAACCTCTTGTCTGGTTTTGGTCAGGGCTTGAAGGGATTTCACCTCTGTGGTGGAGCCTCCTGTGGTGCCTTCATCTCTGCAGCTTGTTGGCTGCTTCAGTAAGGCTGCTAACTAGGAGCTCAGCTCTGTGCTCTAGGGAGAAGAAGGTCCAGGGGGTTTCACTCCACACTTCTCTGGTCTCTCAAGCTGTCGGCGTGCTGTTTGGCTGGGCAGTTGTGGTGTTGGTCTGTGGAAGGGCAGAAAGACAGGGAAAAGTCATGGAGTTTGTGAGGTGCTTTGCAGGCATGGGGTGCTGCTGGAGAGAGCCAGCCGGTCACTGGGCTGAGAGCTCGGTGCGGCTCAGCATCATCCTTGATGTTCTTGGAGGGTCGGGGACAGACCTGTCCCCGGGTTACAGGCAGGAACCAGGCAGCTGCCTGCACTGTCCCTGGTGTGCCGGAGAGCGGGGAGGCGTCGTTGCGGGCCAGCCCAGACCCTGCACGGGCCCCGGCCATGCAGCTCCCTTTCAGAGGCAGGCTCAGGGAGCAAGCGAGGGAACCTCGGATTGCTCCTCCCCAGGCCTCCTCCCCACAGATGCCATTAGGATCCGGGTTGTGGAAGCCATGCTGCCGCTGAACCACCATCCCCAAGGCCTCCGGGTTCCTCTCCCCCTCCCCGCGGGTGTTATTTACACCATTTCCTGCCCAGGGAAGTTCAGGAGTTTGACGTTACCGGGTTGGTTTCCTCTCTCCTGCCTGGCTCCCATCGGGAGCTCCAGCAGAGCCCGAGCCCTGCGGTACCGGTGGTGGCCGGGCAGGAGCCTGCGCATGCCAGCGGGGAGGATGGAGGTGCCAGCTGGGCCCGGGGGAGGAAGCGTAACCCCTTTCAGGCCAGACACCTCGAGCTCAACCGGCCTGGGATGGCTGGAAAAGCCGACCCCACGTCCGTCCCTCCGCATGGGTCCTGCAGTGGGGCTGGACCCACTCGGCCCCGGCGGGAGGAAGGGAGGACGCGCCTGGGCATCGCTGCAAAGCTTTTGGGTTCCTGCCGAATCGACGCCCTCCCCTCTCCCTCCCTCTCCCCCCCTCATCCTTCCCGCCTGCTCCCGCCTGGCCTGCGTCTCCCCTCCCTTCCCTTCTCCCTCCCATCCCGCAGCAAACAAAATGGCTGCTGCATGGCCATTTTGTTTTCTGTCTGGAAGGGGGAAGCCAGGACGCTGGGACTTGGCTCTTTTTTGGAGGCTGCGGCCATGTTCGAGCCCAACTCTCCCGTCTCTACGTGGCACCGGCTGTAGCGAGAGAGAGAAAGAGAGAGAGAGAGAGAAAAAAAAAGGACCTTTTGGAACGAGACCAAAGTCAGAGGCAGAGAGTGGGTAGTTTTGGCGTATGTTGAGCACTGAAAATGCCTGGAATTGCCAAACTGAGCTTTTGTATTAGCAGCGTAAGGCTACTCGGTGCATGCAGAGCCGCGGGGCTGCACGGTATAGCCGGATGGAAAGGTTTGTTCGCTATATTCAATAAAACAGCCCTCCTTTCTTCTGTATTTATAAAGTACCAGAGAGCACTGTTGTCTAATTTGTTTTTGGACAGGCGGATGGTTTTACACATCGGCTTGGTATGATTAGAGCCGGTCATTGCTGGACGGTAGCATTTTAACCTGTTGTGTGTCCTCTTGTTTTTGGTGAATACATGATCTGACCTTTCCACTGATCTGGCAGTGCCTGGATGTAGCGGATGCGGTCCGGAGGATTTATTTTAGGGATTTTTTTGTTTTGTTTATTGCCGCCTTGCCTTGAAAGTTTTCATCTCGGGAGTACAAAAACTTAATTTAAATATTAAAAGAAATAGCTGTTCTTGGCTTTTTAAGCCCTTGCTTTTCTTCCGAGGATGGAGCTGTACTGTGATAACAAGCTGTTTACTGCACCAGCGTGTGTACCCTGCACACGTTAAGGTGTGATACACGACAGAGACGCCATCAACAGTAACATGCCTTGAAAGTTTAAGGGAACTTGGTGGCGTTACCATACAATTTTGCGCAGAAGCATGGCAAAAATATCAGAACATGCGCCAAATAAAAGCGATTTTTTTTTTTTTTTTAAAAGTGATTCTGCATTTCCTTCAGTAGCCTGGATGTCTTGGAGTTAGTAGTCACGTCTCTTCGTTCATGGCCGATCAGAGGAACAGATCTCTGTCCGGGGGCATGGTGGGGGGGATCGGGCTTTGATAAGGCATCGGTGTTGGGGTGATCATCCTCCCTTTCCGTGAGGGGCTGCCCGGACATCTGGAAAGACGCAGACACTTTCAGAGAGGAGCTGGGAAGGAGAGCAGAAAGAGGGGAAATCGCTTTTCTTGCACAGAAAGGTATTTGCCTCCATATCTGCTTGGTTTGCTTACAAACAGCCGATGTCGAGAATTGCACGGGTGATGGTGGTCCCGGAGCCGGGGCTGCATGGGTGGGCGCTGGACGGGCAGTTCGCGTTGCAAGTTAAATGTTTTGGTCCAAATCAACATTAGGGGTGGACGTTACCTGCGCACTTTTCGTGAGCAGCTTTTGAACTGAACGTTGAGAAGGAAAACAGTATTAATGGAAGAGTTTTATAGAGTATTCCGGGGAAGGATCTTCTCGCTTTATATTTTTGAGTTAACCTATAGAATTGAGCAGGGACCACGTAAAAATAAAGCAAAAAGATATTTTTTCTCTTATATCTCTTGATTTTTAGTATTTTGGAGAAATCATTCTATGAAATAATAGCGCCTATTTCAGTGTAACAACAAAAATTCTGGGATTTTTTTTTTTTCCTTCGGGCGACTGTAAATTATATGCTAATTTACAAGGAAAATACACTAACGTTTAGAATAAACATTGCGTTTGTGGCCACCTTTAATAACGGATTTATGACAGGTTAATAAAAGATGAATCGTGTAACAATCAGGTTACAGATGCCTGTATTATAAATAACAATACCAGATTCATTAATGATGATCCAGATGTTTATAAACATCTGAAAGGACTTGAGGCAACCCCTAACAGATGAGGAGCTATTTATTAAGATACCTGCTAATCATTTATTAATAAACAAATATTACGGCAATGTTGATATGAAATATTACCTATGTCATTAAAAGAGCATGGAGGGAAAGCATTGCTGAGACACGGGGGCTGTTGCAGGAATTAACTTTAAATATTTTTACTTCCATTTCCCATCCCCTATTTGCAGTACCTTTGATTAACTCTTTCAAAGCGTGATATTTTAATATTGACTCCAGGATCGGGTGTCAGGGAAGATGGCTGGCCTTGCTTTTTCCCCTGAGAGGTTTGCCTGGCCTGTGAGAAGTTAAAAGCAATTTGTCCTTGTGGATGGTTTGGCAAATGTAATTTTTTTGCTTTCCAGTGGCACGGGCTGTGTTCAAGATGTTTTTTTGGGCCGTCTGCTGCTTTTTTCCCGAGTGGGTTCCTCACTGCCGGCCGGTAGAGTTGCGCGGCTCTGAACGGTGCTGGATGTGGATGCACACCTCGGCAACGTTGGGGAGCTATTGAAAACCTTCCCCACCTCTTATTACTTATTTTGGTTTTGGGGTGGCTTTTTTTTTTGTTTGTTTGTTTTGTTTGCATGGGGGGTCTGTTTGCTTGTTATTTCACCACTCCAGCAACGCGGCAAGGCAAGGACGTGAAGTCACGACCGGCTTCCCTACAGGCAAAGCTGAGGAAACAAAATGGCTGACGGTCAGCCATTTTGTGCCAAGGCAGCCGGCTGGCTGCTGGCAGACTTTGCCTTGGTCAGGGCCGCTTCTGCCCCAGCCCAGCTCCTGCTCCAGGAGGCTGAAAAGCCTCTCGGGGACGCGGGGCCCTGATTTCCCACTGAGAAGCCCTGGCTGTCCCCGGCACATTTTGGCACCGACACGCGGGACTGCAGCTATACAAAGGCTGAAAGCAGTGTCTGCTTTTAAAGGAGCGACTTTGTTGTTTTATGGTTTCCTTCTCCCTCCTCCCCCCTCCTCCATTTCATTCAGCGCTCCTTAATAAACCAGATCAGCTCCTCAAAGCTTCGGAGCCTTTCCAGCTACTCTCCGAGGCGGGCTCCGCACCTCCCCGTTTTAAAGGCAGAGACTTGGCCGTGCTCGGGCATCTTTGGTCTGCAAATGCGTCAAATTTTGGGGGGGACACCAGCTTGGGTTGGCTGGTGGGGGTCATCACGAGCTGCCCCGAGCCCTGCTAACCAAAGAACAGTTGTAGGTCACCTCTCCCTCCCAAAAACGAGCCTGAAAGCTGGACTGGAAATGCCTTTTTTTTTTTTTTGCCAGCCTGGAGGATCTTGCTGTGATGAAACATATTTATCCTTTACCTGCCAATTTTCCTCACCCCTCCAAGCACCTCTAGACGGCAGGACTGTGCTGTGGCACACAGGGACCTTCCTGCAGTCTCTCGCAGAGACTGACCGAGCTTTTTCACAAAAATTAAATTTGGCTAATTTTGAAGGATTCATGGGAATCTGGAAGGGGAAAACTGCAGTGCCACTACCTTAAGGGCTGCACAGAAAACAGTGTTTTTCAAAGAGGTCTGGTTCTTAGCAGCCAAGTAACCAAAAATCTTCAAAAAATGGGCTTAAACAACTGAGAAGACAGTGAGAGGCTTTGAGGTATAGGCTTCTGACTCCTACAGACCCTGTAGGCTATTTTATCCAGAATTTTGCATAGCTACATCGCATTCAGGCACTTGTAGATCTAATGCTTCAGCAGCGATGTGCTCGAAGGGAAGGTTTTGTGTCTGGAAAACAGGGTAGAGCTGGAACGCAGCTCACTTTGGCGATTGCCGTGGGATTTTTGCTGAGAACCTCAGTAGATATAGAGTTTGCACAAATCTAGCGGCTGCATGGGTATATGACTAATTCATAGTGCCTCTTTGTGAAACCCCAGCGGGGTTTTACCATTGAGCTGTTATCCAGTATGTGTGTGATCTTCTCTCTCTCAGGATCTATGATTCTCCTGCAGATATTAAAATGGAACATCACTTTTTCCCTCTCTGTCAAAGACTGTCGGGAGAGGTGGATATCGATCTGTCCTAACGCAGTTAGGCAAGCCATTGCCCTGGCACTGCGACCAGAGCAGGACTTCCCAAGGCTGGTTCCAGCGTCAGCTTTACCATGGACTTGCTGTGTGATCTTTGGCAAATTTGATCATCTCTCTCTTTCTCCTTCTTTCCCCATCTTTTGTCTTGATGGTTTCGACCACAAGCCATCCAGGAGAGGGGCTTGCTGTTGTTGCAATTCATACAGCACAAATGAGTGTGACAGTGATACTAAGGATGGGATGGATGGTCATAGTGATCCTTACCAGGCATAGTGTTTCTAAATCCTCCTTTCTTCATGGATCCTGGCAAGATTAGGGTTGCAGAGTCAGCAGCTGGGTATTCCCGAAACCTATACTCATTAAGACAATTATAATAATTAAATCTCCTGTTTTCAGGATTACTTATAGAAGTCAGAAGGGATTTTTTTTTTTCCTCTCCATGTATAATTAGATCTATGTGAACTAGGAATTATTTAATGTAATTTCCCACCCACTGTTTGAGGTTGGCCGAAACGCCTGTTCTCTGCAATGATTTCAAGAGTGACCTTTTAAATGCCTGGCCTATACATCTTGCTTACACGCTTAAAATGGTATAAGCCACCCATTCCCACCACGGGAATCAGGAAAAATTGTC